TTTGCTTCATCATTTTCTCCAACAATAGCATCCTCAACACTTGCTTCATTTGCCTCGACATTTTCCTAAATAGAAATTTCATGAATGCGTTGTTTCTCTTGCCTCAACATTTTCTTCAATAGAATTTTTAGATATTTGTTTAAAATATCTCAACATATCTTCCTACAAAATAGCACGTGAATGTACAAACCAACTAATCATGAGATTTGTTTTCGAATTACTATACATCTTGTTACATAAATATACATTCCGAGCTTGTTCATTAAAAGCAATGAAAAAGATGAAGAAAATAAAGATACTGTCTGGCTGTCTGCCACTATAGTAACAAATAGAAATTAATGTTGAAATTATTGTTGCCACTAAAGAAACAACATAACCAATTAATCATAAAAACAGAAGATTACTAATTTTTATATAGACAAAACTAGACAAAACATGCTTGGGGACTGGGTCACTGTGGTTTCACATAAATAAGTAAATCACTGGGGTTTCACTTAAAGTAATGCAACGAGAAAATCATCAATACAAAGTGAAAATGCGATAGCCTCGAAAAAATGTACAAAATACACAAAATTCATAAGACCAAACAATTTTTATCCGTATATTGCAACATTAATCAAAACATAAAACAGAGTAAAAAAAAAAAAAAGGCAACAACTCACCAAAAAAGTCTGGGAGAACGCCAGTCGAGGAGAACGCCTTGAACGACTGGCAGGGAGAATTGGGAGAAACGCAATCACTAGCTGTCTTCAATCAGAGGGAATTGGGGAAAACGAACTAAAGGATTGGCAACTGGGGGGAAAGGGAAAGGGCTGGGCTGGGCTGGGCTGGGCTTCTTTCAACATTTAAAAAAACTTGGGCTTGGGTTGGATGAGCTTTTTTTTTTTTAAAGGCAAAAAATTAAGGGCTCAGTGGGGGCAGTTGCCCCCACTGGGCCCTTAATGGGTCCGCCCCTGCAGAGGATGAAGATGCCCAGTATGTTCTGTGGAATAGGCGGGTGTGTTTCCACCATTTTTAATTTTTTTTTTTATGTCTTCATGATTGAAAATGGAAGACTCGTTAATGTCCAGCGTGAAATCTACTGAATTCAATATATGTCGGTTACAAATATGGTTTGGGATATATATTTAGAAGTTAGTATTTTGAAAAATAATTTACATATAATTCAGTATTTATAGTTATATTTCCATTATGTAGTAACTAGTAAAGTATGAAGTCTTTTTTAATAATAGAGCATATACGAATTTTTCCGTAGAAGATGTAAAAGGAAATTACACCAAATCATGTCTTTTCTTTTACATTTTAAAAATTCAGGTTT